CCAAAGTAACACTCATACCAGACTAGACAATACCATTTGAAATCACATTCAATAACTTGTATCAAAATATACTTTACTGTATACAGAATGCAAAGGTAAACAAACCTATTCACGGCATCCTCTGTGAGGGGCAAGCACACATACACTCAGTTTTATATTTAAATTATTGTGTTTTTTTTTCATCATTAGCATACTGGTGATTATGTCAGTGGAAAAAATATATGTGTATCTTTAACATTGCCGTCAGCCTCAGCCTTTCCCTTTGCTGAGAAACTTAAATGACTGCATTCACAACTGTACAAGCTAAAGTGAGACAGTGAGTGATGTGTCAAATTGCTTGTGTCAAGATTTTTAAATTTATGTTGTTTGATATAAAATAGTTTCACCTTTACACTTTAATTGCTAAAATAAACCATATTTTTTATTGGCCTCAGTAACAGTTCAACTGTTGGGTTCTTTTCAAAGAGCACTCTGGGTTTGCTGTATTTTGTAGACCAGAAAATATGTTTCTCCCACTAGCTGTAATTTATATTGAAGTTGGAATAGGTAGATGAAAATTTAAATGAAGCTTAGTAATGTTATATTTATTGGAAAAATGGCACTTTTGGGAAATAAACAGAACTAAACCTGAAATGGCTCAGCCTTGCCTGCATTGCATCTTACAAATATTCATCATAGATCCTAAATATTACATCTTTAAAAGACTTCAAGAAAAAAATTCAAAGGGTCTATGCTGTTCCCCTCTGGATAAGCCACTATATTTGTATTACATATAATCAGTGATGGGAGTAACAGAGTTGAAAGTAACAGCGTTACTAAGGCCGTTACCTTTTTTTAGTAACGAGGTAATCTAGCTAATTACTTTGACTGTAATTATAACGCAGTTACCATTGCCGACACCCCGTTACTGCACATTACTCAGGTCACACAATGAACCTTTTTTTCATGATAGGACTCGTGCGCGCCTTGTCATGAGAAAGGGGAGGATGAGAATGGCTGATGTATAGTGAGATTACGTCTGTCAGTTGGATAGGTGGGTGTTTCCGTTGACGGGTGTTAACGTTCCCCCCATGATAAGCAGGGGGAACGCTATCTGACGGGTTTATAGGCCCGTCAGATAGCGTTCCTTCCTGATGTCATTTACGTTGAGTTGCAATAGATGCAAAACTCTCTGCAGGTTCTTGTCTTTGTCATCCTCTCTATTCAGCTGGCTTTAGAAACACACGGCGAGAAGGTGGGGGCCGGGTGGTGGGGGTTACGGGGCGAGAAACGCAAAAGTAACACAATAGTTACTTTTACTAGTAACTAGTTACTTTTATTGTGGAGTAACTCAGTTAGTAACTCAGTTACTTTTTGGGAGAAGTAACTAGTAACTATAACTAATTACTTTTCCAAAGTTATGTGTCCAACACTGCATATAATACAATAAAAAGTTAATTAGCCATAGAATAAAATACAATTCTCTAAACCTTGTATTCAAAAATACTTAATTGAATTGTGAACAAACTGGAACTCTTTTTGATCCCAAAAGTTCAAAATAAATAAATTTTACTTACTATTTACTTTCTGTAATATTTCCTTTCTCTATACGTTTTGTTAATTTCACCCATTTGAAAAAGACAGTTTCTGAGAGCTTCACTGGAAGCTCAGTTAAGACCAGGAGGAAAATGCTTTATATGAACTATTGAAATTGATTGACTGCAGTAATGCTGCTATGCAGTTTTCTATGCAATATTCTCTTTCCAACCTTAGCTCACACTGTAAGATACCAGGATGGCAGAACATTTAAGTCTATTTTTTCACAATACATTTCTGCACTTTCTCATCACAAGATATATATATATAAGAATGAAGAAATAAAGGACCATATGTATGTAAAGTGCTTTCAGATGCCTTCACATTCTGAATGGGCTCTATATAAATAGACAAATGCTTTACTTTACTAGCCTGGCTTTAAAAGAAATAGTAAATAAAACTGAGCAGATATTAGAAAGGATATATGATCCGTGATTTCTAGCTCCATTCAAAGAGTCTTAAATCCCATCTCTAAATGAAAAGCAGGCGTTTCTCCATATATTGCAGAAAATAGTTCTATCTGTATGCTTGCTCTAGCTTTATTCACTCTGAACAATACACTGATACTTCATATAGCTACTCATAAGTCCTCAAAGCAGCAACATCTGTATAGTATGCTTTGTCTTTGATCACAGTGTGATCTAATAATGATTGATGCCAAGGAGATGTCCGCTGCTCATTACTCATTACTTTTGGGGTAACCTCCCTGGCATGAACAGGTTAGTGGTTGGATTGTCCGGACAAAGAAAAGGATTAACACAGATTGTAGATATATGTGTTTTAGTAAACGCAGGGACTGGAATTTCACAGAATATTCACTTAGATCAGTTTTTTTATTGGCTCTTATAGTTCTAACAAATTAAAGTGTTCTGGCTCATTTGGAAAAAACAGATTGAACTGTAAGTTTGACTCCCAAATATGGAGATATATATTGGTATTTCAATGGTCAGAGCTGTAAATGATCTCCCAACTGAGACAAAAAGCCAAAAAAAATATATATATATATTGTGGATTTATAATTTAGGTGTGGATCTTAAACAGGCACTCTGGTAGGATACATGACGTTGCTTATAATTAATTTTCCCAAAAAAGTATTTTACAGATATTATTTTTTTAAGAGTGAGAAAGTAAACTTTAAGTGTTTTTGGAGTTTTCAAAGGGGGCTCAGGCTCAGCTAGCTCAGTAGTAGCAATGAAAATTAGCAGCTATGGTCGTTTTAACTTGGCCAGGTTTTCCAGGATTACCTGTAATCTGCTTGTAGCAGCTGACATTTAATATAAAGCACTGATGAAGTATGCAGTAAACAATGCGAATAGAAAATCTGATATTTCTCAACCAGAAGATTTTAAAATGTAAACTTGATGTCGGTTGAAAAGAAACTGTTTTGTTGTATTTTAGTAAGAAAATATTTTAGTACAGCAATAATGATCATAGAGAACAGTCTCTCTTTTCCTTGTAAATAAAGAAAATAAACATTCCCCTTAACTGGCTCTTTATATAAATAAAGTGAATGATGTATGCAAACCTAATCTGGTGGTATGTAACCCCTGTAGGAGGAGGAGCATACCTCAAGCGGAAGTGCGCAGACAAAAAGCAGCTGTGATTGGTCCCAGCTGTCTGTGTGGTCGTCCTTTTGATTCTGTGGGGCGCGCCATTTAAAAACCGATGAACAACTACAATGGATAACTATGACGAAAGGTAAATCAAAGAGGTTCGGAAGTACAACCACTTGTACGATACCTCAGACAAATTATATAAAGATGCAAAGGTCTCTGCCAAAACAAAGTTCTCATGACCGTCTACCAGAGTTTTTGCGAGTTCTCGAATTGGCTCCCCCTTGCCCTTCGGCAGGAAACAGCTGTCCGTCTCTAGAAATTCCAAACCGACGGTGCAGAAGCATACCGGCAAAACTGGTTTGCGACCAGAACCAAGCCACATTTGATGTGTGCGGTTGCAGAAGTTTAATCTGCCCTTAAGAAAACAACCTGGAGGGAAATATAAACTGAGCTTAGCTTTTACTGTGACTAAATGTAATGTGTTCTCTTTTATCCCTTTTTACATTATAACTGCCTCAAGCTTTACTAACAGAGCCTCCCATGGAGCTACTTCACTGCTGCCTTTGTTAACAAAGAGAGAATTTATGTATTAGCATTTATAGTACAGTATTTATGCTTCTATATTCCTCTAGTCAGTGGCAGCCGGCCAATGGAGGGGCAAGGGTGGCGCCTCACTCACCCAATGACCTTGATTAAGACAGAAATAAAACAAATAAAAATGAATATATACACTTAGAATATTCAAAATATATTCATATATATTTTAGATGTGAAAGATAAATATTTAATCGTAAGTAAAGGTGTTTCGCTCATTGTCGGATTGGTGATCTATTTCCGCTCTGGGGTGCAAAAATCTTTGCCCATTGACTCTTGTTAAAAGCTGTTCATGCACAGTAGCTTCCATGCTAAGATCGGACCTTCCTGTGGCGCAGCTCTCCTGCTCCCAGAGCTGAAAGCATCTTTATTTGCACACCACCTCCCGCCACAGCGCTGATGTCATGGTCGTCTGTTATAAAGTGCGGCTGATTGACAGGTTTATATGATTAAGGCAGGTAGGACTGATTTTAAGCACTTTTTAGAACATTTTCTAATGTTGCTTTTTGTTGTTGGCTTTAGGTAAATATGGTGTGATACCTTATTAAAAATTTGATTGGTTTTCGGTTTACGTCTATTTTTGAAGCTATAGCCTCCGCTAGAGAAAACTCCACCAGTCACCACTGCCTCTTGTGTGTCTTCTTCTCTACTCAAGGCTTCTCCCTGTTAAACGTTTTTTTTTCCTCTCGAATGTTGCCGCATGCATGCTCGATGTGAGGGATTGCTGTAGAGTCAAGAGCACAACGGATCCTCATGAAAGCATCGTCATCCAGGAGGATGTGATGATGAAGTCAACGACTGAATGCAATCAGCTGGATGTCCTTTGACTAAAAACTTTAAACCAATTTGTCTGGATGACCAGATTATATTGTCTATGTAAAGTGAATAAGTTGAATTGGTTTTAACAGAAAAAAGGTTGTGTTAATATTTTCTTGTTTCTAATGAAAATGAAGTTCCAAGGAAACAACTCTGGCTAGAAGCAGGTGGGTGAAACTTAAATGTCATATAACTATTTTCACTTATCCTGCAACTGGATCCAATTCACCTTAATGACCAACTACATACATCTACTATTATTCTTCAGTTCAAACAATAGGAACAAAAAACAGTTTGAATTAATCTATATGTGAATGGAAATAAAGGGTAATGCTTTGGTTTCTTTTTACTGCCATCCACTGCACTGAACTTTTTAAAGCGGATTAAAATAAATATTTCAGGACATGGATAAAGAGTTTATAAAAAAAAAAAACGATGTAGAAAAATTTATTGATTTCTAATTTGGCAACTTATTCTTTAAAACATATTTCCATTTAAGTACTGTTGTAGGTTGACTGTGTTGTGCTGGCACTGTAAGGACACGGCCACTTACTCCCGTCAAGCAGAGGTGAGATGAAGGGGTTCTTTTTCCAGCTAATATGACGGCAACATCTCTTTTTTTAGCTTTTCTTAAAATCTGCAATTCTCCCTCAAACTTCCTGGACTTTGTTCAGAAGAGGCGTGACACAGCAAAGTCATGTAATAGGCAGTACAAAGATAAGGAGAGGGAGCTTTGCTTTGAAGGCAAGTATGTTTCTTCCAGGTTGGAAAACCATTTTTTAAATTAATATCAAACCACTACTCTAGTAGTGCTTAAGGCAATTGTCTTACAGTTGTTAATTTTGAAAGGCTTAAAAAAAACATGATATAGGCTCTATAATAATTCTTATAAGAGGCATTGTATTTATATTAGCCGTATTAAATGCCAGTGCTCAAATTACTCTTTCATCTAATGTCAGCCATATTACGCTGGTGTTTATATGGCAATACTCAATGGATAAAATGGTTTTTGATTTGATCCAAGTAAATTCAAATAACAAAAGAAAATTGACAACAAAAATAAAAACAAATACAAAAAAGTTTGTTATGGATTCTGCTTGAAAAGAACAAGTTTCATGTGTTTAATCTTTGGTCTTTAGTCAGAGGCGACAGTGCCATTGGATGCAGGAGTTTGCCCTGCATCGTTTGTGGGTTCGAGCCCCGGTTTCGGCTTTCAGTAACCTTTGGGCATTGCCTACTGATGGCGGTCAGGCCAGTAGTGCCTGTGTACGGCTGAACTTTGAGACCCAGGTCAGCTACAATGTAGGTAGCCACCATCAGTGTTTGTGGGAATGAGTGAATGACTGAATGCAGTAAATGACTGAAAGCGCTATAAAAGTACTGACCACTTACCCTGTTTCTCTCAGTTAGATAATTCACCTCTTACAAGTCTAAGCACCTACAACACACTAGGAGCACAAAAGTAAAATCTTTCATTTAAAGAAAAACACTATATATTTTACACAATATATAACTCCTGGTATTTATCTGTACCACCACAAACACAACAACAAAAGCAATCATATGATAATATCTTGGCTCTAATTTGACTCTATTAGGGTCAATTTGACTCTAATTTGACTCAGTGCTGTGCCTCGCTCACAATTAAGGTTGCGCTTAAGTGCTTTATGGCCCATAAACTTACATTATATACAAAAACATTCCTTACAGTAATAGTGATGTGCTCACTTTGTAAGTGCCTGTGTTGTTTTCTTTTTTCAGCAGAAAGACTGAGAAACCTCCAAATAATCAGTTATTAGTCCCATGATCTTTTGAGTAAAAAAACAGGAAAGCACTTTGGCGTTTCAATCTATCCTCATAGCCATGCATGTGTTGGTTCCCGCTAACACCAATAATACCAAAAGAGTTACTTAGTCTCTCCATAGGGTTATAATAGAAAACAGAATGATAAATAATATTACATAATGGAAAATTTGTCTCAAACTCTTAGACATATAATCCAGGCCATAAAACTCACAACTGATTGTGGTGTTGGTTGGAACAGAGATGGCTGGTTTAAAATGGAAACTTTTCCTACCTCTACCTTGTAAGGTGATTGTGGAGTCTAATTATATAATTCCATATTCTTCCAAACTTTAGTCCAGACAGTAAAACTGTTCAGTTTACGAACAGGTTCAGCCGGGTGACTCACTCCTTATAAGCCAGGCCCAGAGTGGGAGGTGGGGTGTGAGTGAGAAGGGGACGGGGCAGAGTAGGGGGAGGAGTCGGGCTTGAGCGCCCAAACACCACCTGCACTTGCCTGTGGAAATTAGGTGTGATTGGATTTTCTTGAAAATTTCGAAGGTTTTCATGGAAACGGTTGCTGCTCTCACTGTCAAGACGGTTGTTATCCTCATTTGGGCGGTGATTGTTGTGGAGATCGGGGGTCTGCCCTTGGTCTTGGACCTTGATGTTGGTGCTGCCCTTTCTTCTGAGGGTGGACTCACAGCTGGATGAGGCAACCGACTGGCAGTCAGAACCTCCATCACTGCTTGCCGCATTTGCCTCTACTGGTGTGACCCTAATAGTAGTAACTGCTTGGAGGTGAGGGTGAAAAGGAGGAGCATTGGTGACAGTAGAAGGCAAAGAGATGTGGGAGTTGGTAGAGCTTGGGTTAAAATTAGAATGAGCATTGTTAAAGTTTGGATTATTGGGATGGTTGGGGTTAAAATTTTGGTGCTGGTAATTGTTAGGATTATATTGTTGTTGTTGGGGGTATAAAGGGTAACTAGCACGTGGATGGTTGGAGTGTTTGCCCATCTCTCCACCGTCACCGCCACCTTCGCTCTCTGATTCAGCCCCTGTAACACTTCTCCTTCCGTCCACTGAGCCACCATCTCTAAGAGAATCATAACTGTCTGTGTGTCTGTTCAGGTCATTGAGGGCGAAGGTTGACTGCCGCAGAGATCCTCTTTGTTCAGGCGGTTTCCATCGCCATGAGCCACTGCCATCTGTGCTTGGAGGTTTCACCACAGGTTTTTGTCGTGACTCTGGGTGAGCGTCTACATGAACTATACTGCCATTTCTTTCCAAACCTCCTCCTAAAAATGTAAGCCAAGGAAACTGTTACCTTCTGTAAGTCATGCGACAGAATACATAGCAGGCCTACTCGTGTAGCTGTCTTGTGTAAATTTTTTAGTTTTGCCTCTTAAAATCTGCATGCTTCTCACATTTATTTAATACGATTATGAAAATATGTATTTCTTGCTTATAAATAGGGTTTGAAAGGACTTTCTTGGATTGAAACCTATTTCCTCTGTTTGTAAAGCACAGCTATAACTCTGGAACTTTATTTGACCACTCTAGCTATTGTGCAATAAATCACAGTGTTATACAAAGCCAGAGAAAAGTGTAAAAGAAGTATAAAATACAGACCTCCTATTGCCCCAGTGGTAGAAGCCGGTGGAGATGGATCTTGGTCTGTCAGTGCCCTGTACCGAACAGATCCACCGTCTTCAGACCGAGGAGAGTGAAGGAGACCTTGCTGTTTAGACAAGGCTATGACCTGGATGAAAAAAAGAGATTCAATAAATTAAGATCATTCTTAGTCATTCTTATTATACTGTTAGGATAATAAAAACAACTTTTAAATTGAACGTAAAGTACCAGTACTACTATTGAAAATGTAACTGCAGTTTTTGGCCAAACCTACGCAATATGATGGAGATCATAGGATGTTTAAGTCTCATCCTATAAATGTGAGTTCTATGCTCTGCGATGGACTGGCTAAGTGTCCAGGGTGGACCCTGCCTTTCGCCCGTAGACAGCTGGAGGTAGGCACCAGCACACCTCGCGACCCCGCTTGAGATAAGCGTGATGGAAAATGGATGAAGGGATGGAGTTCTATGCTGATATACCAACGCAATAGTCAACCTGACCGACCAATCATAGCGAATAACCGGTAGTGACGCACTTTCTCAAATGCCTCCTTGTTTGTGTTTGTAGCATCAGCCACATGGAGAGTCATGGCTGAAAGCCAATCAGAGGGGAAAAAAGTACTCTCATTATATGAAACTGGTATGTTTGCACCATATTATTTTGGTGAAACAAAAAAGTAATTTGCAAAGTTTGCTCAGAAACGGTTCACACGTTGGATGGTAATGCAAAGAACCTGTTTAATCACTTGAATAGAAAGCACCTGAAACAGTATCCTGAGAGCCATGGAGCAATGGGACACCCAGCAGCATCGCTGGACCCAAACAGACAATGTTAACACAGACATTAGATAAAGGCAACTTTACAAGAAAAGGAAAAGGAAAGGAAGAGGTGGAAAGAGTTAACAGAAGTTTTTATCTTACAAAAGATATGTTTCCATTTAATACATTGGAAAACGGGTTGTTCAAATGCCTGCTCTAAGTAGTTGACCAACAGTACAGCTGCCTGGCCAGTTATTTCTCCAACACTGCCATTCCACGATTCAGGTAAGTGTTTATGTCCTTTGCACATGTTAGCAAAAAGCTGCCTCTATCTAAATTAAATTTAAATTGAAATCTAAATTTATCCTTTTTTATTATTTTTAGAACTGTTTTACTTCCAGAAATGGTTTGTTTAAACTGACCAGAGTCTTCCGTAAAAAAGAAAATTAAAAACCATCGACTGGACTTTGTTATCAAGTTTGAAGATATTTCGTTCCCACTCCAGGAAGCTTTTTCAATACCAGATACTTGCAAATTCTTCTAAAAAACAAACAAACACGTAAGATCATGATAAAACCAAAATTGTGATTTTTCTATTTAAAAAAAGGGTTGTATAATATTTTGGCCATATTGTCCATCGCCACGTGCTTCTTTGGCTGCAGTAGAGCAGTTTGTTTGTAATTTTGAAAATGAAACAAACCAATCAGCACAGTCAAATCAGCTACTTAGGCTATGTTTTTTATAATATCCGATTCTTCTTGGTGGTCGTTCACATTTCAAAGTATATGCGACTTGTATGTGATCTCCTGTGTGAACTGTATTCATACAACTTAAGTGTCATGCACAGTAGGGGACGCATGACATCACAAGCGAGTGTGTTCTGTGTTTACGGAAGTAAACATGGATGGTAGTGCTGGAGGGCATCTAGCAATCTTTCATTTCTTTCCCAACCTCAGCCAGTGTATTAGCAATGCAGTATGTTCAGGCAGGTTGGAAATAAAGACTGCTCACCGCATTATCATCCGCCATGGTTGTTGTTTTTTAACTGCTTCTGCTTCTTGCTATTGTTGAAAGACACAATATGGGGACCTTTGTCAAGTATTAACAGCGTTCAGGTCTGATGAACGTGACCTGGCCAAGATCCGATACATATCAGATTCAGGGCAACATAGCCAAGTGGCATGGGTCGCTGTTAGGTTTATTCAATGATGATTATAAAATGAATGTATGTACATATGAAACATTGGAACAAGGAGATGCTTCAGTCTGTCTTGTGATTCAGTCAGTGGAGCATCCTGTCTTATGACCTGATCAATTGTCCTTTCAGAACAATACTCTGTTTTGTAACCATGTGTTATGTTCTGTTAATAAATAAGGCACTGCAGGAGGGGGGTCCGGGAGAGAGAGAGTAGTGTGTTGGGTTGCAGCTCTTTCTCCCCTCCTGCAGGAAGCTGTTGAAAATCCCTTTCTGTGTGTACTCAGTCCTTCTTTTACGAACCTACATTTTTTAACCTAACAGTCACATTGGAAAAAAATGTTTGTGTTGTTCAGACTATCATAACAAGATCAGATACAGGTCACATGTGGGCAAAAAAATGGATTTGGGTGACTTCAGGCTGCTGTGAGCGTAGCCTTAGAGTGAATTAGAGTATCTCTCTGAGACATTTCACAAACCTGAGAGGTGCAATCACAAGCCAGAGGGGAGATGGCAGTGCACTTGTTCACATACAGGTGTTTTGGATGGACAAAGTTTTTTAAAGTATTTTACAGTTTATACTTATATTTTCTTTTATTTGTGGTAATGCATTCCTTTTTATTATCTATTTGTCTTCATCAAAATTGTCTGGACTAAAACAACCTCTGAATGAGGAGTATATCATGTATTTGGCTGGTTTGTTACTGTAACCCCATACTGTTCTAACCTTTACCATTCTCTCTCATCTGTTACTGTTTAACATATGAGCGTTCATGAAGTTGTCTTTCCAATTGGTCAAAACATTCAGCTTTAAACTTAAAAATATCTGTTTCATATTAATAATGATGTCAACATCCTGGGGACATCTGATCATAGCTTTTCTGTTGGCAGGAGGCTAAACCTGAACACAGAATAATCAGGATTAATCACAGCTGAAGCTGTAAAAGTCAATCTGCTCCAACTGTCAAATTTGGTAAGAGCAGCTTGGCTTTATTTGCTTTGATTCAGCAGAAACGGATACGCAGTAGAGATTATTAGGCATGATTCATTTCAGCCTTAAGCATTAAAACAAGCAAATAGACAAGTTATTAATGGAATTAAATTGCAAAACTCATAAAGAAACATAAATAAGAGCATAATGAAAAGTTGAACCTGCATTAGACGAGGCTGTCCTCCAGCACTTAAGGGTCTGGATGGAAGGGTGGTCTTCTCTGCTACTCTAAGCCATTTCTCTCTCACTGACCCACCGCCGTCCATCATGCTGTCCTCTGATTCACTCTCCTGATCCTTACTGTGAAGATTTTCCTCCTCAGGAATGTGAACAAGCTGGGAGGAGCCAGGTCGAGGGTGAATGGCAACACGGGCCCCAGCAGCCATTCCAGTGCTCCCATTATGTGCAAGGTGATTATGGTTGCTTATAGGCACAGAATTTGCTGCAAGTTTCATGTATTGTGCTGGGATGTGGGCCCCGGTACGCATCTCCACTTCCTGGCTGGAGGCGGATGGCATGTGGCCCCCACTCCGGAGCTCTGCCTCCAGGCCCATGGCAGATGGTTCTGAGGAGCAACGAAATTCCATGTTTCTTTGGGGAGAGGAAGAAGGATGGTGCCGTATTCCATCCATCGCCTGCATCGACAGTTTCCTGTTATCATTCTTGTTCTTCCACTGGCTGAGCAGCTGTTTGGATCGGGTGGAGTCCATGGAAGTGTGGATAGAGGCATGGCGCCTTTGAATACGGCCCTCCTCCACTGAGGAGCCTCCATGAGACCTGAAGGATGAAAAATATACAAAAAGAGAAAATGAAGCCCATCTAAAAGTATAGTGGAGGATTTTTGTGATTCTTTTTTTTTTAATTCTCCACTTTAGAAGAAAAATGCAAATACACAAGCCTGTTACCCCTCCCGAGAGGGTACGCCTATTAAACGTGAGTGAGAGCATTCCTAAGCCCATTTCTCCTTGTGCATGCTCTGATTAAAAGTTGCTATTTGCATCCTTCATACAAGCTTACTTTAAATTAAAGGTATTGATTGTACAATAAATCTGTTTAGATCAACTCTGGTTAAACAAAATTAGATAAAACTGCTACCTTGGTAGTGTGCTGCTGCTAAAAGTCATCATATTGTCACGGTTTCCTGGTGGACTGGACTGAGTGATCACCTCCACGTCAGCACTGGCTCTCTTCAGATTGCTCATAGATGGCTCTCGATAGGAGGAGCTCCGCGTTAGGATGGGTACTGGATGTTCAGGAGCCAACGTGTGGGAAGACGTCCTTGTAATGATTGGCTTTGGTGGGCTGGGAGCTCGGGTGAGGTGGCCTATGAGACGACACCAAAAAAAGGAGTTTATATTGAACCACTGAAGTGATGAGAACATCTAATTAAAATGCAAATTGAAGTCAGATAATCACAGCTCTATATCAGCTCTATGGAGGACCAATCCTGCCATAATTAAACATAAATGCATAAATAAATAAATAAATAAATAAGCATACAATTAACTGCCCCCAAAAATACAATAAACAAATAAATGTACGTTGAAATTAAATTATACAGTGAGACATAAATATACATATCTCTTCTAATTACCTTCTTTATTTATTGTCCGTTATATTCTTCAACTTTATTTATTTATTACTTATTTCTTTAAGTATTTATTTACGTGCATGTTATAATATTTTTGTCTGGTGTATTCTTCCTATGTATCTCTACCCTATTAATTTATTGCTGCCTGTTGTATTTACATTTCTGTATGCATTTCTGCCTCATTATGCAAATGAGGAGGGTTGTGTCTTAAGGGCTAAACTTCTCCTCACTGGCTGGTTAGCAGCCACCATGACAACAAACATGGCTACCTACAATGTAGTTGTCAGTGAGCTGAGACATTTGGCTGGGCCGCTGACTGGACCAGACCAGGAATTCAAACCAAGCCATCAGCTCTGGGGCTGGTCCGGGTCCGAACCCAACCCCCCCACTTGCACGAGGCTGAGGGTACCGTCACCAGGTCAGGTTTGGTCGCTCCGTCCCCCACTCTCTCCCTTCCCCCGTCCGCCGGAGTTCCCAAACCAGCGCCGGAGCTCACGCCTCAGTTCTTCTGCGCTGCACGATTTTGAAATTCCCCCTGGGGAGCCAGCCGGGGACAGAGCGACCAAACCTGACCCGGTGACGATAGCCGTGGCCCTGTGCTTCCCCCCGCCTGCAAAGTCCCCCCGCCGCGAGGGCGGCAAGCAGCCAGGGCTCCCCCCCCCCCCACAAAAAAGGGTCCTCCTTTTCAGAAACACCAGCATTGGCATTGTTTTCAAAAACAATTGCTAAATGTCTCAGCTCACTGATGACTTCATCGTAGGTAGCCATATTGATTGTATTTTTGGGGGGCAATTAATTGTATGCTTATTTATTTTTCAAGCATTTATTTATTTCTGCATTTATTTTTTATGCCATGATTGGTCCTCCATACAGCTCTAATGCTGTTTTCTTTTAAATAAACAACTCTAAATTGAAAAAAAGGAAAAGCATTTTTAGTTATTGCTGTTGTTATTTGGAGAGGTCTCATGGAAAAATTATTCAGAGATAAATAAACAGTCAAAGGAAAAGG